AATGTCCTTGAACAGAAGCCTATGCAAAACTTTACTCCTTCACATGGAATACCCGAGTTATTTCCAACCTTTTCCTAAACATAACTCTCTAAAATTGCTTTCCACATGAAACTTTCTGCACTTAATCACAATCAATATTATATCTCAAATATTTTCAGTACTTCTATAATCTTTTACCATATTAATTTTGATCCACTTATATATTTTTGCTAAGCAACTCTATTCCCTAAATTCTCTGGGAACCAAATTATATTCCTTTTTTTCTAATCCCTTTACAAATATATGTAACCATTTAATAATATACAGAATGCCCTCAATAAATGCTAAATAAAATGATAAAAATGAATTTTAAACTTTTATACATGGCTAGAGGCCCGATGCACAAAGATTCATGCAAGAATGGACCTTCCTTCCCCTGGCTGCCGGCACCGTCTTCATTCAAGCCTAGAGCCACCTTTCCACCTTCCCACTGCCCAGATGTCTGGAGCAACTGGGGCGGGGTGGAACGCCTGCATTGTTACCACAGTGTCCCAACCTGCCCCTGGCCGCTCGGTGACTGTGTATGCAAATTAACCTGCCATCTTTGTTGGGTTAATTTGCATACTCACTCCTGATTGGCTGGTGGGCATTGTGAAGGTATGGTCAATTTGCATCTTTCTCTTTTATTAGTGTAGATTTTTTGCAATAGAAATCTCACTGTCACCCTAACTGGTTTGGCTCAGTGGATAGAGCATCGGCCTGTGGACTGAAGGGTCCCAGGTTTGATTCCGGTCAAGGGCATGTACCTTGGTTGTGGGCACATCCCTAGTAGGGAGTGTGCAGGAGGCAGCTGATCAATGTTTCTCATCAATGTTTCTAACTCTCTATCCCTCTCCCTTCCTCTCTGTAAAAAAATCAATAAAATATATTTTTTTAAAAATCTCACTCTTTAATTTTTCTTTAAATATTCTTAATAAGCATATTAGTAATTAACAAATATTTATTCTGATTTCAAAAATGTTAGACTGTTTATTTTATCAATATTCCTAGTAAGTTGTTCTAATGCTCATTGGCATACATATGTAGAAATTAGTTTATCTTTAGACATTCTGGATAAAACAAATACAACCATTTTTTATATAATGCTTTACAAATTAATTAATTTTTACTTACATTATTACTTACATTCTTTTCTTTTATCATCATAAATTATCATGTGAGGTATTTGTATGAACCACTTTTTGCAGTATGGAAATCTGAAGTCCTGACTCAAATTTATGATGTATGGTAGAATCACAATACAAACCAAATCTTCCCATTTCAAATGTATTGCTCTCTTTATATTAAACCATGTACATTTAATTCTAGTTTTACCTTGAAAGTCCTTACTTCTGTTACTCTGCTGGTTGAGAGGGTTGTAGATGATTGACATGTGTGCCTGTTCTCCAGGAGCCTACAATCTAGCCACCTAATCAGATATCTTAATGATAATACGCTAAATGATAAGGGTAAGGAACACAGAGGAAATATACCTGGGCATTCAGAGAAGGCTTCTGGCAAGATATAAAGGGTAGGCTAGGGTAAGAAGTGAGTCAGCTGCAGAAAACCAGAAAATACAGAGAGATTTGAGAATTACTTAAGAGATTAAAAACAGTATGTCCCAAAGAGGTCTAAATTCAGAGATGAGAAAGAAGACTTCATCTATGAGGATTCTCAGGTGGCTGGGTGAGGAATTCAAGCAGATTAGGTTGAGGAGTGGGAGGCAGATGATGACTGAGTTTGAGGCACATAGAATCTCAGGTTCTGTGGAACATGTACATGGATCTGTGTGAGGTAAAAAGTTGAGTGAGAAGTTAAGAAACTTCAGGCCTGGAGATGCGGAATAATTTAAAACTATGAGTACTATTTAAACACATTTATACCCACTCATATAGTGAAGAAGTAATCACTGATGCATTGTTCATAAAAGAATGATAAGAGAGAAAGTAACTAAAGCAAAACACCAAGTTGTCAATATCTAAAAGTATTAGATAGGCAATTTTTATGATGATGTGTCATAAAGTTTGACTCTACTTTGAATTCTCTCCCATATTTGCTAAAATAATTTTCATGTGATGTATTTATAGTAATTTTCAATTTTACATGCTTTATTTCTGCCTTAAAACTCACATTTATGGTAATCATTTTCTCCATCAAGATAAATGTCAAATGCAGTGCCACCAAACAGTGCAAGTACATTGCTTACAAAATATTGAAAAAGATTCAAAGATAACAATTAAAGAAGAATACTCTTCTATTACTTACAGAAAACTATAGCCCTTAAGGTACAGAGTAGGTTACTAAACTGACAGGACTATCACTTAAGAACCTGTGAATTACTAGGAGTATTTGATATTTATAACTGTAAACTACAAAACAATATTGAAGAAATGTGTCAAAGTATTTGTAGAACAGATTGAAAACATGTGCATCTAAATGTACAGGTTCATAATGCCTAGTATATAATTCCCAAACCTATACACTCTATAAACTGATATTTTGTTGTGTGTTGCAACCTTGATTGGTGGTAAAACCAGGCCTGTACTAACATGAGACATTTAGAGTTTTTTTTCCATACAATAGAAATATTCATAGAATTATCTTCAGGTATGTAAATGTGTACTTATGGGGTTCTATCCAGAATCCATCTGCAGAAGTATTTCATAATATTTATTACATATATACAAAACACTAAGGAAAATTCTGAATTCTAAAACACCTGGCCCCAAAGTGTTTGGATACGAGATTAACTAAAATTCAAAACTTGAAATTTTAGGTCATGTTATAAACCAGATATTCAACACAAGTGAATTTCTAGAATTAAAATTTTTCATTCTTATACCTTTAAGAATAGATTTATCTATACAATATTATTATGATGAAAACATTTCCAGATTTTTTTCTTTTCCCCCAAAAATACCTTGTTCTAGTACTTCCTATCTTCATCATCCTTATGAAATAATCACTCATTTTTGTAAAGATAGAGAAATCAATTTCAAAACCCCAAATTATTCTTAGAATCACTTTGGTAGGGTTAGGATCTAAATCAACATCATCAGGCTTGAATAAAATATAAAAAGATAAATGTAGGAGGGATACATGCATATTCTTACACTTAGGACCAAAGAGTTAACTTCCAAGAAGAGAGGGGAAAATGGGAACACAGGTAACATTTTTGCAAGTCAGTTATAAGTTGACTACTGTCCCAGGACATACTGAAAGTATGTTGAAGCTGCTCTCAAATATAATACAGTCCTATGCTTCTGATAATGAAACACTCTACCCAGAAAGAGAAATGATTGTCCCATTCTATGCTTGTCACAGAAGATAATGAATAGTATGTTTGATTCAGGGACCACCCTTTAATAGCAGCATTGACCAACTCAGATAATCCTAGTGAGGAGTAAACATGATGTGATCACTCTAGAAATTACCTTAAGAAGAACAATTGCAAAGCCTGAAATGTCTAGCTTTAAGAATAAAATTATTGATGAAGTTTTTGAAATGAATCAACTCATTCTGTGTAATTAGACACACCAGTGTACCTACAAGTGAGAGTTACTGGAAATATTATATCTCAAAACAAGACAAACTGGCTGAAAATGAAAAGAACTAGGACACGAGTTATCCATATAGAGTTACGGGATTACCTAATGGGGGTGTGAAAAAAGTTTCTAGGTGGTCCTTTCCATTTTGATAGTCATCAGTACCTCAACACCACAGTGTAAGTTAATAATACAGCTGGATTTAGAATTTCATCAACTTTCATTATATACATTTTAATATTTATGAAAACATAATATTTACAAGATATAATTTCACAGGTAGAAGTAAACTCTTCAACATTTGCTATATTGTATGTAAAGAAGAGGACCAACTTTTTGTATATATATATATATTTTTAAATATACTTTATTGATTTTTTACAGAGAGGAAGGGAGAGGGATCTCTAGAAGCATCGATGAGAGAGAAACATCAATCAGCTGCCTCCTGCACAGTCCCTACTGGGGATGTGCCCACAACCACAGTACATGCCCTTGACCGGAATCGAACCTGGGACCCTTGAGTCTGCAGGCCAATGCTCTATCCACTGAGCCAGACCGGTTAGGGTTTTTTGTATATTTTACAAAAAAATAGAGTATATATTGGAAGTTATTATTAAAAATCTTGTTCATTTTCTTAGCTTTTTTTCTATACCTCAAATAAACACAAGTATGCTACTCTTAAATAAGAAAATTAACTTTCATTACTAATTTTGTATATAAATAATCTGGAAATCCTTAAAATTTTATATTCTTTTTTTATAAAATGATATTCTTCACAAAAATACTCTAAAAAAATAACTCATCTAACAATTTTAAGTTTGTGAGAATGGTGCTGAACTTTTGCTCTTTTTCTAATTTCCAAAATAGTTTATTAAAAGAAACTGGTTGAAATGTTTTTGAGTGGAGAGGGCAATACATCAATAACTCCCAAAATTTTTAAGCAGGTGTTAGGCATTTTTAAAGAAATATTCCTAACGCTGTCTAAATAAAAATAATTAGACAGTAGTTTCCCAAACTGTTATCGCTTCCAAAGATAGAACACACAACTGAAAATGGAAAGCACATACTTCCAAATATCATGATTGTGTTTAAAAAGCAAGGAAGATAAATCAACTGTTCCCATATTCTGATGATCAACAGGTGGTTTTTTTTTCCACCCTCACCAAAACATACAGATTAAATTAAAATAAAAAAGAAAGAAAAGACCAGATAGAAACTCACGCTTCATACTTCCCATCATCAACATACCACAATTTTCTTTGAGGCAAGGTTTTATGTGAATTAGTATCGATTCTTAATTTGTTTCTCACCAAAACATGCATACTATACATTATAAAGGGAAATGTAATTATAAGAATGGAAATAAAACAAATCTTACTTAAGTCTTATCATATTTTGAATTGCAGTTGGAAGGACAAACGCTACCAGGAAGCCTACCTGTGGCAGGGCTGAGTTGAGCTGTCTCTGGAGCGAATCTCTGTCGTAGATGACATCCTGCAGTCTTTGCTGGGCCAGTGAAAGGCTTTCTTGGGTCTCCCGTAGGGTGTCTAGAAGACGGTCCCTTTCATCAAGCATATTCACCATCAGCTGCTCAAAATGGGAGTCTGAGTCCGAGCCACTGCTCTGGGACCCCCTTTGGCTCATTGGGGTGTCCTCATTAATCGTGGGCATCACTTCACACATCATTGCTTAAAGAAAGTAAAGGGGAGGGGAGTTTAGTAAACACATGTTTTCCAAAAATGCTGCCCAGGCCTCAACCCAGCAAATGCTTTGCAGCGCCATAGCCTAATTGTCTCTTTTTCCCTTATTCCAAGCAAACTAGATATTTTGATCTCAGGGAAAAGTGATTATTTTTTCATGATTTATTCCACCTAATTCAATTTATTGTAACATGTTACTACATTTATTAATTGGTCACCTTTCTTCCTCTATAAATTTACAAATCCCTTATTGCTAATACCTTCATGTTATCTTTATTTATTATATTGTTAACAACAAGCAGGGCCTGCCCCTTAATGGGTGGGCAGTAAATTATCTTTAAATGACTTAAGTAATTCAATGAATTAATGTTCACTCTTTTATTCACGAAAATTTACAAATAAGATGGTACTCTGTTTATACCATTAAGAGTTTTTACTTTTTTTATTTTACCAACTTTTTTTTCATACCAATTTAAAGCTTTTTTACTTCAAAACTCCCATTTTATTATTTTCACATGCTCTCTCCCCAAATTCCTGCAGTAGACTACACGGTAAAGTGACTGAATTAAATATAAGCTTTATGAACTAGACTGAGGCACATACATTTGTTTAGGTTAATATACTACTAATTGCACTAAAGATTCCTTTGTTTCCTGTGAGCTGCATTGTCTGGTTTTCATCCAAACAATACAAACTAACACTTTCGAATACTCCACAAAACAGATACCATGAATTACATTAGCCAATGCAGTAACTTCACATCTCAGCTGCTAATCAGAGGCTACCAGTCATGAAATAAATTAACTGCACAGGATTTTTTAAAAAAATTATTGATTTATTTTAAAATAGACAACACAGACATTAGGATGCAACACTGATCTATTGTGTGGCATTTTAATAATCAGAAATTATCTCATTTTCTCAATTATGCTCTGTCTTATATTTTTAAAAGAATCAAACACATCTCAGCTTCAGCTGTTGTCCTGAGGCCAGGAGCTATTAATTAGAGGGCTTGGTTTTGTAGAAGGCTGATGTGGAGCAAGGCTGGTTTGGCTGTTGATCCTGAAGCATTCTTTGGTTTTATAATGCAAGGTCAATTCATTTTTCTGCCTACATATTCCTGTCCTTGGGGAAAATGTTTGTGATGATATTTTCAAATAAAATGTCAAGACTTACCAGCTCAATAGTTAAGTGTTTTTTATGTAATTCTTTCTATAAATTGAGTTATTGAGGAGAGAAATTCAATTATCTGTAAATGATTTGGTCAGCGCTCACTGAAAACTAGGAGAAACTTTCAGAAAGATAAAAGTACTTTTGCCACTGCTACCCTATTTAAAAAAATTAAGGAGGGTGATTTTTAGAATAATTCAAGATAATGCTTGGAATTATTGCTTATCATTCAAAACACTGTGCTACCTGTAGGTAAGAATTTGACTTGTTAATTTCTTATTCACCCTAAAATAAATAACAGGGTAGATACACAGGATGTATTCATGCACACATGTGTGCACACAGGCGCACACACACACACATACATTGTTACTATTGTTAAATAATGATGAAAATAAAATATTATTTGTATTTTTTTATTTTGCATTTTACTCAAACACTATCACAAAGATGAAATAAAAAGAGACTCCTAAATTTACAAATTTTCTTTACATTGATTGAAAGGAAATTGCAAAAACAAAAAAGTGTTCCAAAACATTTGAATATTTAAAATGATTAGTTTACTTGCCATGCATGACATACACACAGCTGTGTCATTCTGGGAAATCATTACCAGGAGCCAATGTAGAATTTTTTGTGTGTTTTTTGTTTGTTTGTTTGTTTGTTTGTTTGTCATGTATGGTTACAACAAAATACTGGAAGAGAAAATGGTAGCATTGTGACAATTTGTGTCAAAACACTTGCAAGGTTTAAATTTTAGGATTACTTAAACATTATTAAATCTGTATTTTAAATTATAGCTTTCTTGAAAGAAAGCCACTAGCCCATCTTCACTCAGAATTATTTATAGCAACTTTAAATTCCAAGGGAAAATATAACTTCATTGATTAACTTCATTATAATTTTCTCCTGAATATACTACCCTAATTCTAACAAAGGCTTGTCACCAGGCTCTTAGATAGCTATAGAAGCTGGTCTTTGATTAAGTCCAAAGATGCTATGATGAGAAGAAGCGCCTTGGGGACTTTGGAAAGTCTATTAAATCTTCACTCAAGAGAACTGGATTCAATTTCACTCCTGTAGCATGTGAACCAGGGAAAGTCGCTTCACCTGTCAAAACTTCTGTCACGTAGGGGTAATAATCTATGCTTGTAAAAAAGGTGTTCTAAAGCTCTGATAGTATACCTAACTGAGATTACACAGTAAGATAATAAAGGCTTTTATAAATTCAAGTATTTCTTTATGATAAAGTGACCAACATTCATCTTTTCAGAAAGAATATTTTGGTTTTTGATTCATTATATTTCCACGCCTAAAGATTTAATTTCATTGGGTACTCTGAACTCTCCACATTCAATTTAAAAAATCAAACTATGCAAAATTTACTTAGGAAATAAGATAAATACATGCTGCTTTTCTTAACCAGCAGTCAACCCAAATAAGTACATCTGAACTCTTCTCAACAAAACTGGGGGGGGTGGAGGGAGGGGGGGGATGATGTTTCTATAAAAAATAAGGCACTTTCATGAACTACTTTAGCTTCTTGCAATAGAACTCAGATTCTAATATAAGTTACAAAATATTTGTATAATCCTTAAAATATAACCTATTTCTTAAATGCACATTTTAGGTATTAAAAGCAATTAAAAATAGATATTCAGTGTAAGAGTGAAACACCCTCTCATAGAATAGATGACATCTGAAGCAACTTGGCAGTCCAGAAGTCTATGGTCATTCAACCTCTAGTACATTTCATCTTCATATACCACTTCTAACTTATCTGATAATTTTCAAAATTACCACTGCCTTGCATAGCATAATTCCTGAAAAACCAGGAAGGGATCACTAACACTTTGCTTTGATATTTGCCTTTTTATCTCCTCCTCTCCAAAGTCAATTGGATACATGAATTATGTTATCCTCTTCTAGATGTTTATGCCTTGTTCATTAAATTCCTGAAGGTCTCAAGACCTAGTAGAGATTATTTTATTTTAAAAAGAAAAAACAATAATAATAAAGTTGGTTTGTTTAATTATCCCAGTGCATAAGTTTAGCTTGAATAATTTTATACAAGGAAAACCAACTCCCTTATTCTTAGCACATAACCTTGACTGTCTCCTAAATCTCCCAGATTTCAAAATAAAAGTTTGAATGCCCACTGGAGTCAGTGCCCAAAAGCTTCAAGATCCAACGTGTTTCTTAGCAATGTATACCATTTAAGCAATACCTCTACAGATATAATAGTACTACAAAAGGTGTTTGTTTGTTTTTTCCTGTCAGTGAACCACTTCATTCAGGCAGCTCACTAGGATTTAAACCTTAATAGGGGCAAAGATGAAATTATCTTTGGTAGTCAGTTTCTTTTGCAAAGATTGAGTTTTAAGAACTAACCCAGCTCCATCTCAGTTGACACACACACACACACACAAAAGTAATTCCTTGAGAGAAATCCTAGCTATTGTCTGATTACGTTACATGAATATTCCTCCTCCTATTTAACCCTTTGAAATCCCCTGTCCTCTGGAAATAATACCATCACCTCTAAGGGAAGCATTTTGCACTTTCTTTACCCCAGTGCCTCTACAGCTGGCCAAAGAGCCAGATCATCTCACAGGGCTGGACAGTTATCTCTCGGCCACACCCCCACCCCCTGAAGAAGTTGACTTCATCGTTTCCACACTTAACATTCTTCATTCTGCCCAACAGGAGGGAACCAAGCAGGGAGGCA